CCATTATGAATTGATGAGGATGATGATGATGGTGGTGATGATGATGATAATGATGGTGAAGATGATGGTGACGACGATGATGACCTTGATGATGATGATGATGATCATTATGCTGAAGTTGATCATGATGATGAAATTGATTCCGATGTAGATGATGATTCGGACGATGATGATGCTGATGAATAAGGTGATGACGACGATGATGATGAATCCCATGATGCTGATTCGGATTATGATGTTGACGATGATGATGAATCGGATGATGATGATTTTGCTGATGATAATTTTCATTTGAAAGATGATGATCATGAAGATGATGATGATGACAATAACGACGATGACGATTCGGATGATGATGATGCGGTAATGATTCGGAAGTGATGACGATGTTGCTGATGACGACGGTGATGATGATGATGATAATTCGGATAACCGTGGTGAGGATGATTATGATAATGATGATGATGATGATGATGATGATGATGATGATGATGATGCTGATACAGCATATGATGACGATGATTAGGCTGACGATGACAATGGCGATTCGGATGATGCTGAAGCAGATGATGATTTGTATAAGGATGAGGAAGATGATGATGATTGTGATCATGATGATGATGATGATCAGTCTGATGATGATGAGGATGATGATGATGATGATGTTTATGCTGATGATTCTGATGATGGTGATTCTGATGATGATGATGATGTTCAAAATTAGGATAATGCTGATGATGATGATGATCAGTCTGATGATGATGAGGATGATGTTGATGATGATGATTATGCTGATCATTGTGATGATGGTGATTATGATGATGATGATGATGTTCAAAATAAAGATAATGCTGATGATGATGATGATTCGTATTATGATGAAGTTGATGAGGATATTGATGACGATGGTGATGATGATGATGCTGATGATGATGATGATGATGATGGTGATGATGATGATGATGACGATTATGAGGGTTATGATGATGATGATCATGTTCAAATTTAAAATGAGGCTGATGATGATGATGATTCGTTCCATTATGAATTGATGAGGATGATGATGATGGTGGTGATGATGATGATAACGATGGTGAAGATGATGGTGACGACGATGATGATGATGTTGATGGGGATGGTGACGATGATGATGGTGATGATGTCGACGATGTTGGCTGCGCTCATGCAGATTTTCATGATGATAAGGGTGAAGATGATGACGATATTGATTATTCCGATGTTGATAATGATGATGGAGATGATGATGATGCTGACGATGTCTAAAATTAGGATGATGCTGATGATGATGATGACGATGATGTTGCTGACGCTGCTGCTGATGATGATGAATAGGATGATGATGAAAAGGACGATTCGGACGACGCTGATGCAGATGATGACGCCTTTGATTACGATGATGATGATCGTGATCCCGATAGTGATGATGACGAAGATGATAAAGATGATCAGTCTGATGATCATAATGAAGAATTGGATGAGTCCGGTAATCCTGGTGTTGATGATGATGATGAATATGATAATGATGATGATGATGATGATGATGATGACGATGATGATGATGATGACGATGATGATGGTGATCCTGATAAAGATGACGATGATGATGAAGATGGTAATGACAAAGATGATGATGTTGACGATGATGATGATGATGATGTCGATGACGATGACTCGGCTGCTGCTGATTGTCCAGATGACGACGATGAAAATGATCATGATGATGATGCTCCGCATGTTGATAATGATGATGGAGATGATGACGATGATGACGATGATGATGTTGTTGATGATGATGACGAAGAAATTGGTGATAATGTTGATGATCATGACTCGGCTGCTGCTGATTGATGATGATGATGATGACTCGGATGTTGGTAATGATGATGGAGATGATGATGATGATGATGATGATGATGATGATGATGGTGATGATGATGATGATGATGGTGCAGCTAATGATGACGATGATGTTAATGATCACGATCATGGTGATGACTCTATGACGATGATGATCAGCCTGATCATAATAAAGATGATACTGATTATTCCAGTAATCATGGTGAAGAAGATGAGGATGAAGATGAAGATGATGATGAGGATGATGATGATGATGATGATGATGATGATGATGATGATGATGATGATGATGATGAGGATTATGCTGATGACACTGATGATGGTGATTATGATGATGATGTTGATTTTCAAATATGAGATGAGGCTGATTATGATGATGATTCGTTTCATGATGAAGTTGATGAGGACGATGATGATCATGGTGATGATGATGATATTTATGGTGATGATGATGATGACGACGATGCAAATGATGATGAAAATGATGATGATGTGGAAGATGATGTTGAGGATGATGGTGATGATGATGTCGACGAAGTTGACTCGGCTGATGTTGATTGTCATGATGATGACGATGAAGATGATAATGATGATGATGATGTGGATGATGCTGATGATGATGATGATGATGATGATGATGATCATCCTGATAATGATGATCATTATGATGATTATGCTGACAATTCTGATGATGATGATTACAATGATGATGTTGATTTTCAATTATGAGATGAGGCTGATGATAATGATTCGTTTCATGATGAATTTGATGAGGAAGATTATGATGATGGTGATGATGATGATGATGATGATGATGATGTTGATTCAAAAATATGAGATGAGACTGATGGTGATGATGAATCGTTTCCTTGTGAAGATGATGATGATGATGATGATGATGGTGATGATGATGATGTTGATGATGATGGTGATGATGATGTTGAGGATGATGGTGATGAAGATTGAGATGTTGATAATGATGATAGAGATGATGATGATGATGATGATGATGATGATAATGATTTTGATGCTGATGATGATGATCATGATGATGATGTTGATGATGATGATGCGGGTGATGATGATGGTGATACCGATGATGATGATGACGAAGTTAATAATGATGATGACCTTAATAATGATGATGATGATGATGAAGATGATGACCATGATGATGGTGATGAGGAAAATCATAATGAAAACCAGTTTGATGACGATGATAATGATGATGGTGATGATTCGGATGATGCGCATTATCATGATGTTTCCGAGGATGATGAATTTAATGATGACGAGGATGATGATGATGATAACGAAGATGATGAGGATGATGATGCCGATGAAGATCTTGATGAACATGATGATGATTATCATTATGACGGTGATGATTAGTGTAATGATGATGATGTTTTTCGGCTGATAATGATGTTGTTTCGGATAAAGATAATGACGATGATGATGGTGATGATGATTATGATGATGATGATGTGCATGATATTGCTGCTGCTGATGATGATCCGGATGATGATGAATACGATTTTGATGATGTTAATGATGATGACTTGGGTGATGAGAATGTTGATAATGATGATTTTGTCGATCATGCTGATGTTGATCGTGATGATCTTGTTCATCAGTGTGATGATCATCATGATTATTCGGATGATGACTATGATGATGATGATGATGATAGGGATCATGATGACGATGATGACGACGATGATGATTTTGATTCGGACGACGACGGAGATGATGAATATGATAAGGACGATGTAGATGTTGATGATTTTGTTGGCGATGATGATTAGGATGATGATGATTATGATGACGAAGATGATGAAGATGATGACGATGATGATGATGATGATGGTGATGATATTGATGATGATGTTGACGGCGAAGTTGATTACGATGGTGATGATGATGTTGCTGATGATGATAACTCGGCCGATGCTTATTATCATGAAGCTGGCGACGATGCCAACGATGTTGATTATTAGGGTGATGATGCTGAGTATGGTGATGATGCTGATGTCGATGATGATGATAATGGTGATGATGTTGATTCGGTTGACGATGATGATGATGGTGACGATGATGATGATGTTGACGTTGATGATGATGATGATGATGTTGAAGATGATTATGACAATGACCCTTCGGATGATGCTGATGATGATGATGAATCCGATGATGATGACCATGATGATGTTGAGGATGATTATGACGATCATGATTCGGATGATGATGATGATGATCATGCTGATGATGATATTGATGATGATGATGAAGTTGTTGATGATGTTGATGCGGATAATAATGGTGATGAAATTTAGCCTAATGTTGATGACGATGATGATGATGATGATGACGATGATGAGGACGATGATGAGAATGATGATGGTGATGATGACCAAAAAACATGATGATAATTGTAATGAAGATGATGATTGTGATTCTCGATGATGATGATTAAGATGATTCGGAGGTTGATGATGATGATGACTACGCCGATGGTGATTATCATGATAATGAAGATGACAATGACTATGATGATGATTCGGATGATGATAATAAGAATGGTGATGATGAAGATGATGATTTCCATGATGATGATTATCATGATCATGATGATCATGATAATGATGAACATCATCTCGATGCTGATAAAGATGATGATGACGATAAAGACAATGCTGATCAGGATGTTGATACTTCTCATGAAGACGATGTAAATGATGACGAGGATGACGATGATGATGGTGATGATGATTCTATGTTGATCATGATGATTTTGTTTCGGTTGATGATGATGATTTTGATGGCGATGATCATAATGATGATAACGGTGATGGTGATATTCATGATGATGATCCTGATGTTGAATATGACCATTCGGATGATCCTGATGATGATGCTGATGATAATGATGATGATGATTATGATGCTGTTGATGATATTGATGCTGATGACGATGGTGATGACGATGAGGTTTATGATTATGATGATGATAATGATAATGATTTTGACGACGATGATTCGGATGATCATGATGATGATGAAGCTGATGATGATGTTGAAGATGATAATGAAGACCAGTTTGATGATGATCATGATGATGGTGATGACGATGATATTTTTGATGAAGATCATGTTGATGATGGTAATGATGATTAGGATAATAATGCTGATGCTGATGATGACGATGTTTACGATGATGATTCCGAGGATCATGAGGAGGGAGATGCCGATTTCGATGATCATGATGATGACGATGATTATGATGATGACGATGATGCGAACAATGATGGTGATGACGATTGGGATACTGCTGATGATGATGATCATGATAAGAATGAAATAGACGATGATGATTCGGATGATCATGATGATGAGTATGCT